TCAGGTATTTGAGCTATGAAGGATTTTTACAGGTAGAGAGGGGGAAGAACTTTCCAGAAAGAAGAAATGGCTAAGCAAAATACATAAATAGACAGTGAGGGTGTTTAGTTTTGCTAGAGCAATGTTTCCCAAAGTGTGGCCTGGGATCTCTTAAGTCAGAACTGAAATGCTGTTCTTTCTTTTTCTTTTTTCTTTTCTCTCTCTCTCTCTCTCTCTCTCTCTCTCTCTCTCTCTCTCTTTTTTTTTTTTTTTTAAGATTTTATTGATTTTTTACAGAGGAAGAGAGAGGGATAGAGAGTTAGAAACATCGATGAGAGAGAATCATCAACCAGCTGCCTCTTGCACACCCCCTACTGGGGATGTGCCCACAACCAAGGTACATGCCCTTGACCGGAATTGAACCTGGGACCTTTCAGTCTGCAGGCCAATGCTCTATCCACTGAGCCAAACCGGTTTCGGCTGGTCTTTCTTTTTCACTTTTCATTCTTTCATGAGTGTTCAGTGGAGTTCTCTAGAGGCTACATGACCATGTAATGTATGTTGGCTAATGAACTGTGTGTTTGTGTATTAAAATTTTTTTGTATTAATTTCAAATATAGTCAATATCCTCTATAATAAAAGCCTAATATGCTAAGTGTTCAGTTGTCCAGTTGGCTGTTCAACCAATCAAAGCATAATATGCTGGTGATATGCTAAAGCCACTCAACTACTGTGCACAACTACCAGGGGGCAGATGCTCTGACCAATAGGTTAGCTTACTGCTGGGGTGTGGCTGATTGGGACTGAGTGAGATGGGCTGGATGCACCCTGGAGCCCTTCTTCAGTCCCTCCCAGTCCCCAGTTGTGGACTGGTGGGGTCCCTCAGCCTGGCCTGTGCCCTCTTGCAATCTGGGACCCCTCAGGGGATATTGGGAGAGCCAGTTTTGGCCCGATCCTGCAGGTCAGGCTGAGGAACCCCACTGTTGCACGAATTCTTGCACCGGGCCTCTAGTTAGTAGATAAAACTCTATAAACAAAATCTCTTTGGGGGGGGTCCTCAATAATTTTTAAGACTGTTAATGGAATTCTGAAACCAAAAACTTTGAAATTCACTGAGCTAGAGCATACAGTATATCCAGAAGGAATGAGAAATTTGGCTTTACAGCTTTGAGTGCCAAGCTGAGGAATTTGGATTTTATTTCCTACATAGAGGGGTGCTATTAGTTTGGGTTTAGCTCCCCTGAACTGAAATAGCAGGTGTCATCCAGACATCAAAGCCAGGCTGAGAAATTACTCTATATCATGGACATCAGTGACATCTTAGCTTCGAGGCGCAGCTAAGGTCACCGAGTTCTGGCAATTATTTGTTTACAGTGATTGCAGAATATCTGAACATGTTTGTTGGCTTTAGGTTATTGAAGGTTCTTTGAAAAAAACTAACTGTAGGAGAGAAATCTCTTTCTTTGGCATTCCTAGGAGTTGTGATATTTACTCGTCTACTATATTTCTTACTTTATTCAACACCAATTGGAAAAGTTTTTTTTTTAATATTTTATTTTTTACAGAGAGGAAGAGAAAGGGATAGAGAGTTAGAAACATTGATGAGAGAGAATCATTGATCAGTTGCCTCTTGCACACCCCTTACTGGGGATATGCCCGCAACCATGGTACATGCCCTTGACTGGAATTGAACCTGGAACCTTTCAGTCCGCAGGCGGACGCTCTATCCACTGAGCTAAACCAGTTCTGGCGGAAAAGTATTTTTTATTCCTCAAGATAGTTCTTGTGTTGTAGCTGTAGAGAATTTAAGGTTTCATCAGTGCTATATGGGGTTTGTGCTAGTCATAGTAATTGGCTCTCCTGATTTCATGTATTAGCAGTTAAAATGTCACATATATATGACTTGCCAGTCCACTGTATTGCTTGGGGAACAGATGGTGCCAACAGATCTGTAGTAAGTAGGCACAGGGGATGCATGTTCCAAAAGAACCTCACCAGGGTCTCCCAAGAGACAAAGCTTAACATTTTGATTTTACTCTGATTTAAAGAAGTCTTTTAGTTAAGCTGGAAGTTAGGGTGGGAATTAGACTTTGCAGGATTATAAAATGGAATCATTAAAAATGAAATTATCTAATTCAATTCTTCTAGTTCAAGACTCTCCTTTATAGGATTCCTAAAAAGTCATCTCATCTCTTTTAATACTTTCACTCTTTGGCATAGTGAAGGGTCAGATTGGCTTTCTAACCTAGCAGGATCATTTTCTAGGCAGAAATACTTAAGGTTAAACGTTGGTCACTCTGGAGGGTGCTCCTTGCCAAAGGGCTTCTGCTTCTTAAGCCGCCATTTATAGGATAACACATCCGGGCTCAGTGATGTTCAGGACTAAACTCCAGAGCCCTTTGGGATGGAAGAAGCTTCTGGGTGTTCCAGGGCAGACAGCTGCTCCCAGATCTTGCTTCCATTCACCTGATTCCTATAGAACTAATTTATTAGTATTATTTATTTAAGATTGCATAAATGCCCTAAATACTGTTCTCATAATTTCACTTTTCTTTTTTTCTCCAATCTGTGTCTCTTTTGTTACCCTTTCCTATCACATTCTGTATTTCAGGACTCAAATACATGCTGTTGTTTTATGTGTCCCTATGAATGGAAATAAACCGTGTCACACTATTATAAGAAGCATTTCTACTTCAAATACAGTAAATGTTGGGAGGAAAGTATGTCTTAGAATTGAAACACTATTTCTGCTGCTATAAACTGATATCATTGAGGATTCAAATTTTCAACCAGAGAGATGTATTTTATTTTTATTTATTTAAAAATATATATTTTTATTTATTTTAGAGAGTGAAGAAGGGAGATGAAGAGAGAAGATACATCAGTCAATTGCCTCCTGCTCACCCCCTACTGGGGATTAAGCCTGAAACTCAGGCATGTGCCCTGACCTGGAATTAAACCAGTGACTCTTGATACATGGGATGATGCTTAATATACTGAGCCACACCTCCTGGGCAAGATGTATTTTATTATTGTATTCTCCCTTCACTGGTAGAATGGTTTAAAGCAGCAGTTGCCAATTGGTGGTCCAAAAACCACTGGTGGTCCGTGAGGTCCGACAGGTTGGCGATCACTGGTTTAAAGTGTTTTTGTTTTAAAATATATTTTATTGATTTTTTACAGAGAGGAAGAGAAAGGGATAGAAAGTTAGAAACATCGATGATAGAGAATCATTGATCAGTTGCCTCTTGCACACCCCCTACTGGGGATGTGCCCGCAACCAAGGCACATACCTTTGACCGGAATCGAACCTGGGACCTTACAGTCTCAGGCTGACGCTCTATCCACTGAGCCAAATCGGTTTCGGCTGGTTTTAAGTGTAGGGATTATACGCCTAGTCTAGGAAGGAAACATCATGTAACAGTGGGTTTTTCTGGGTGGGAAAGGTTGACAGGGCCTCTGTTGTTCTTCAGGCTATTAGAGCAGTGGTTGGCAAACTCATTAGTCAACAGAGCCAAATATCAGCAGTACAATGATTGAAATTTCTTTTGAGAGCCAAAATTTTTAAACTTAAACTTCTTCTAACGCCACTTCTTCAAAATAGATTCGCCCAGGCCGTGGTATTTTGTGGAAGAGCCACACTCAAGGGGTCAAAGAGCCGCATGTGTCTCACGAGCTGCCGTTTGCTGACCACTGTGCTAGAGGAAATGCTTCTGCAGCCAGTTGCAGGGATAAAGTGACCACACATGACTATAGCCAAAGCCAGCTGGTTTTAATAGCAATGAATTGAATTAACTCAATTGTAAAAGATTGGTAGCTGCTGTCCTTATTCTGCAGATATGCTTTAAAGAGTCTGGCAGGGAGCCAGAGACCTATTCCCAGAGAGCAAAATGCTGTCTGAGAAGAGCAATGTGCATTTCTTGCTGAGACCATTTCCTTAGGAACGTGTCTTATGTCAGGAGCCTGATTGATTGCCAAGGCACATTTGAATTGGGAAACAGTGTGGCAGACATGGCAAACTGGGGGGCCCGTGGCCATGTTGATCAGATGTGTTTTTAACTGGCCTGTGTTATACGAAAAAGGGAACACTGTGTTAGCTAAAATTTAATAGGAGATTTTATGCAAAAGTCCAGATTTCTTCTACTCTTAATAAATAGTTAGGTCCACCAATACTGAGCCCACATTCTAGCTTGGATTCACAGTGGATACATATTGACTTTTACCTGCCTGGAGCCCAGAAGGTCCTGCAGTATAGCATAGTGGTTTGAAGCATTTTGGAGTTGACAGACCTTCACTGGAGGCTTAGTGCTATCACTTAAAGCTGTGTGCCACACAGCCCAGTGTTCTCGTGTATATACAGTAATGCCTAACTTCCCGGGTGCTGGTGCTCTTTTACTCTTGAGTTACAGTTTTGAGACAGGTGGTTCAGGTGATTGGAAAGTATTGCATCAAAAAGAGTGCTCAATAAAATATGTGTATCACATATGATCAGATGACCTTATGATTTTATAATTAGCAATTTTTGTCAGTTGTTAAGAGAGTCCCAGACATTGTTTCTTACATCCTTTCTTTCAAAAGGGTATGAGCAGAATTGATGGGTCGAAGATAAGGTGATGTGGCTTAGGATGAAATGGAGGTGCTGAACACCAAGATAAGTGTTGGCACTACAGGATAATCTCTAGTATGCCTAATTTCCCCTCATGTGTTGATCATAATCTCCTATTTGTCACCTGGAGGTACTACAAATAGAAATAAGATCATGTCTCTGAAGCACTTGTTCATTTCTCACCGAAGACCAGTTCTACACAATACAGTGGCCATATCCAGGGTAGGAGCTCTGTAGCTCTTCACTTATTTATGTCTCTAAGTACTTAGCTTGCAGGAAGGGTGTGATCCCAGATAGCAGGTGTTAGCTAGCTGCAAAGGGGGATGTTATTTATCTTTCCCCCCATTTTCCTTAATGAATGACCTCTGAGTTGGTAATTGACAGGGATTATTGCCATTTTTTTAATCTCTGCTAGGAGGCTGCTGGAGTCTTCCCTCATTTCATTATCCCGTTATGATGGAGCAGGATCCAGAGAGCACCCAATTTACCCAGACCCAGCGAGGTAAGGCTGAAGTGAGAAATGGCACTAGGTGGGGGGGCGGGGCTGCCCTTGGGGTTGCCAATTGCTGGAAGCCCCATTTTGTGCCTCTCTGGTCCTGGTGCTCTTTTTACTCTTGAGTTACAGTTTTGAGACAGGTGGTTCAGGTGATTGGGAAGTATTGCAGGTAAGTGAACAGAACCTCTGGTGACAGACTTGTGACTGAGCTCTTATCCTTTGGGGCTCATTTCTGTGAATGTGACACTAGAGGAGGAACCTGGGGAGGCCACTGGCAGAGTCATAGGATAGAATATATTTCTTCTCTTAGATCAGTGAGACTGTTTTCATTCAGATAGACAGCCAAAAGGGAAATAAAAGTATTTATTAATAGGGAAATTACCTATAAATTCAAACATAAAGGAATCCTTCTTGCTCTCATTTGAGAGAGTTTAGAATATAAGAAAGCAGAAATCAAGCTCACTTAGTTGTTGAATATTTTGAGACTATCTGAAGGAAGAGATGACTGACAAATGGAACTAAATATAACAAGTTGGAACTTCATTAAATGCTTGACTTATACTGATTAGAAGTCATTTTAAAAAATCTTGAAGAGATTAAAAAAAAATTTCAAATGAGTTGAAGACCCGCCTTAACCTGATACTGGTAAATGAGTGCCAAGTTTGGAGTGTTTGAGTTGATGAACGTTTGTAGTGAGAAGCCCTTTGGGGTTGTCACAGTTGGACTTACTGATTGTTAATGATCTAAAGGAGGGATAACCTGCACTTAAGCAGTGCCAGAGCACATTGTGAGGCTCTGCCAGAAGAAAAGTGTTGATGATGGTGGGGCTGGCAAGTTAATACAGGTCACATAGAGCTAAATGAGCTTTGCTCTAGTTTAAGAATTTCAAGGTAGAAAAACCTTTAGACCAAGTTGATTCCAGTGATATTGAATGATCTTGTTGTTGGCACAGTTAGCCCATGATGCTGAGCATTCTTTCTGAGATACTAGTGAAAAGGTTCCCCATTATCCTCTTCCTTTGGAATGGCGAATCCAAGGATGAGGGAACACGGGCATTGAGGACTTTCAAACAGGTAGACAGTTTAAATGCTGCCTGAAGCAAGAATATTTATTTTAGTTCGTAATCATAATCAAAAGTAATAGCCCTAAATAAGAAAAGGAATATTTTCACATGAATAAAATTTTCTAAAACACTGAGATAGAGAACTTCTTGTAGTTCTTTTAGGATAGCAGTGGGAATCTCATCCCCAGAACATGACAGTTTACCAGTAATTCTTAAAGACTATAACTTGTTCTCCTTTCATGTTATTTGTTCCTATTCAGAGAAACAAATAACAGAAAGTATCATACTTTATAGTGTTGTGTGTTTTCACATTTCCCCTTTGAGCACAAAATAGGTGTTTTTAAAGGGGAAGGTTTTTTATTTATTTATTTTATTTTTATTTTTATTGATTTTTCACTGAGAGGAAGAGAGAGGGATAGAGAGTTAGAAACATCGATGAGAGAGAATCATCGATCAGCTGCCTCTTGCACACCACCCACTGGGGATGTGCCCGCAACCAAGGTACATGCCTTGCCCAGAATCGAACCCAGGACCTTTCAGTCCGCAGGCCGACTCTCTATCCACTGAGCCAAACCAGTCCCGGCTAAAGGGGAAGGTTTTAATAAATCTTTAAGAAAATTAAAGATTTATTAAAACATTTAAAATTTTTACTTGTAACACTTCAGAATTTTATGGGGTTATCCAGCTCTTCAGTGGGAGGAGGATTGATACCTCATTACTGATGGTTTCATTTCTTTTTTCTCTTAGATTCACCCTGTGCACAGTATGTATAGGCCAGAGCATTCAGCATTCAGATCCTTAGCTGCCCTCTAGATACCCAAAAAGACAAGGATAGGAATGTATTTGTAGTTAACAATTGTGCCAAGAATCTTTTTTTAAAAATCATTGATGCCTAGTTCTATAGTTCAGGGAATTTTTGTCCTGTCCTCTATAATAAAAGGCTAATATGCAAATTGACCAAACGACCCGTTGCTATGATGCACACCACCAGGGGACAGATGCTTACTACAGGAGCTGCCTCCTGGTGTTCAGTGGGCTCCCACAGGGGAAAGATTGCTCAGCCAGAAGCCAGAAGCCGGGCTCAAGGCTGGTGAGTGCAGCAGTGGCTTGGCAGTAGTGGCTGGAGCCTCTCCTTCCTCTGCAGCAGTCGGACATCCTCTGAGGGCTCCTGGACTGTGAGAGAGCACAGGTTGGACTGAGACACACCTCCCGCCCCCCAAGTGCATGAATATTGTGCACCCAGCTTTTAGTAGTGAAATAAATAGTTGGGGTTACCTAGTGCTGAGATTGTGCTCTAGCATATGAAATAACAGTCTTATTGTCAGCTTCAACATTACTTTTGCCATTATTACCAATAATATTTGCAAAATTTTCCATTAGTTAGAGTTGGTTATAAACTCAGGAATGAGTGTTCTTGTGGTCACCTTTCAGAATCAATTCCAAAAAAAAACACAATTTTTATTCTCCTCTTAACTTTTTTACTTACTTTTCTAGTCTGATTGACTTAAGAATTTAGGCAATAATGGTTGATTTATGCTGGAAGGTTGTTGTTGTTTTTAAAAAAATATTTGGTAGATATAGGAACACTAGTGTTGACTTCTATTTGTTGAAAATAGAGGATTCTTGATTAATTTTTGCAAACTGCATAGGAACAGGCCCATACAAATAATAAAGTTCTACAAGTTAATACCTTTAAAAAATGATTCTTATGCTCTCATGATCTTGGCCAAAGCATCTGTTCATCCCATGCCCACCCGCTGTATAAAGATAGCTATATAAAGGTAATTTGGACTCAGGTGCCAAATGCAGCATCTTGTTTCATAACATAGACATTTGAGTTCCAAAGATTGTCAGCTGGCCTGCTTGGGAATCCATTTGATGGTTGGCACAGGACCACCACTTCTGTTATTTAAAAAGCAGCCTCAGATCCTATAGCAGTTGACTCCAGGATCTCCTTTGCCCTGAGTCAGTAGATTTATTGAAGATTTGCCCAGAGACTTTGCCAGGGTAATGAAAGGTCAGGCAGCAAGATGTTTGTAAATACTTTTCCTACCATTTGGATATAACTCCTTTATTTCCATTCTCACTCAGTGTTTCCAGGTTTCCATTTAAAAAAAAGAGAGAGACATGCTGTTTTCCTCTTATATTTAAACATTATATAAATTCAGGTCCTCAGTAATCCTCATTAGGATTGCTGTGTTCCCTTTTAATTTTTTGTTTTAAATACAGAAATATATTGCTTACATACATATTAGTATATACATACCATTCTTCAATTTTTCCTTCATTTAAAATTATATTTTAGAAGGTTTTATGTGTGCATATAGGGATAATTTGTTCTTTTTAATAGCTATAGAATGTTTCTTTGTATCGATATAGTTTGTTTAATCTGTTAATGGGCATTTGGGGTGTTTCCCAGGTTTTCATTAATTCTAATCTCTCTGTATTTTTGTATCCTTATGTGTTTCTGTAGGCTAAAATTTCCATTGGAATTGTTGAGTCAGTGTATATCTCAGGCAGGTTTTAAGTCTGGAAATTTCTTAGTAATCCATTTAATACTATCATATAAAACATCCTTCTACAGTTCATCTCTCACACTCTCAGTTAATAGCCTCAAATTATGTAAATGGTGTTGTGAAAGATGGAGTGAAAACTTGAGAAAGAAGGGAATGTGGCACGTTGTATGGGATACTTGATGTTTTCAAGGAATATGAAGACACTAAGCAGCTGGAAGAATGTAGGTCTAGACTCTTTACTGAGAATAGTCTATCTAGTAAGGGAGAAGAAAAACAAAGACTGTTGCCTTCTGTACTGCTCAATCCCCATATAGCTTCTGATGCTCTCTTGCAAGGCAGAAAATTTTGTTTTTATCCTTTTAGGTTTTTCTGCTTTTTCCAAGTTTATTTTACTCTCAGTCTATATCTTCTGTTACAAATATCTCTGAATAAATTGTTAAAGGAGAGAAAAAAGGCTCAGATCATTTTAAGGAGCTAGAACAAATCTGGAGTATGTCTGTCTGTTGGAGAAAAAAGGGGCTCCTGGTGAAAATGCCTGTGCATGCCTTCTTTAGTAATCTCAGGTTTCCTGTCCCCTGGCCTGCTTCCTCATCTAAAACGGAAAGAAGAGATGACTTATTGATGATTGCTGTGATCCCTTTATTTCTTGTATTCTACGTAAGGATGATTGTGGGAATGCTGTGAGTCTTAAAGGGGTCCCTTAAGTGACTAAAAAGAAAAGTCCAAGTGTTATTCTCTTGGGAGGGGACAGCTGTTGATCAGATAAGGACTGATTAGACAGTCTCTTTGCCTTATCTAAGAACAGAAACAGTGGTGGTAATATCTGATAAGCATATTGTGCAGTACAAATCTCCTTGTGAGTTAAATGTCTTTATTTTTCATGTCTCTGGATTGTCTCAGCAGGGAGATGCCAGAGGAGAACTGGATTTACTGTTTTTCACAGTTTCCCCCACATTAGTGCTAGTTTGTGTTTGTCCATCTCTGTTTCTCTCAGATTATCTCCTGCTGCATACTACGCTCAGAGGATGATCCAGTATCTTTCACGGAGAGACAGTATTCGCCAGCGCTCCATGCGCTACCAACAGAACCGGCTTCGCTCTTCCACCTCCTCCTCCTCTTCAGACAACCAGGGTCCATCAGTAGAGGGAACCGACTTGGAATTTGAGGACTTTGAGTAAGTACATACTCAGCTTGCTTTCTTCCCTCTGCTCCCAAGCTAGAAGTGCTTCCAAGTTGGTCACTGAGCAGCAGCGGTTGACATTCTTGCTTCAGACCTTTAAGTTACTATTTTGAGTAATTGGATGGGGTGAGGGATGGAGGGTTAAAATGCCCTGGGCACGCCCATCTCTGGCAGTTGTTGCTGATTCACCAGGACCTTTGGGAACAGGCCGTCCATTGGACCCCGGGCCACACTGGGAGAAGATGGCGGCTGTGCTTACTTCCCTTTTGTGTGAGCAGTGCCTGTGGAATGCATCTCGTAGACTGTCTTCACAACTGGGAGGCAGGAGGCTTGGTGTTTTTTTCCTCTGAAACAGAGTAGATATTGAGAGATTAAAAAGAAAATAAAGTTGGGTTTTCTTAGAACCCTTGATCACACTTGAACTTTGAGGTTTTACTACTTTACCTAAACTTTCTCATTCTCCCTCCGTCCCCAGTAAGGATCCTTTGAAAGTTGTCTGTCAGGTTAATGTGGTGGGTTTCAAAGTGACTCCTTCCTCTTCTTTTAGTTGGTAGTTAGGTGACTGAGTGAGCTAAAGGAGCAGAGTTAGCCCCGGGCTCCAGAATTCAAGCTCCTCAATCTGACTTCTGGGTTTTGCCTTCACTGACCTGGTGCTCATGGCCTTTATAAGCCATTCATTGTTTCCATTCTGAAACAGATTTTCTGGCTTATATCGGATTGGACATTGACTTTTGTTTTGATTCCTATTTTATATATTTTTTTTGTATTCTCAAACATGTAAAACAAGAGAGAGAAAAGAGTGGTTAAGTATTTTATTCCTCTTCTTTTATTGGCAGTATTGGAATAGGATAGCCTGTTGGTCATTTTTCTTTTTTCTTCTCCATCCTGAGATAGCCTGGTCAGGTCTGGGATCTTAAGAGTTCTTGCCTCCCCTCAACCTTCTGTTTCCTGAGCTGAATGATTAATCTCCAGGCGACATCTTGCAACCAAGCTTTAGGGTGTGTTTGAGCAATCTCTCTGCCAGAAAGAACTGAAAAGGTGGGAACACCCTTTGTACCAGTTCACCTTCCTGATGCGATCCTTAAACGCACACTAGCAATTGTGTACTTGGAAGCAAAAGTAAGACTAACTGGGAGATTCATTTGTCTGAGGAAGATGTAAATGTGGAAGAAAGGCAGGGATGCTGTGAACACTGTGGTGTGGCAAGTGGGGCAGGTGTGGTGGCCTCTGTCATCAACTGAGAGAAGAGCCCCGCTACCCTCTGACTCTGAGCACATGTCATTCTTCTTTCCATCCCCTCTAGGTGGTGGGCACACATAGCAACAGTGAAGGGAAAGTGTTTCCACTCCTTAGCCAGGCACACACCTGTAGTGAAATATGTTCCCTGTAAATGGGATTATTTTTCCAGCATTGGGGTCTATTCAGGGAAGCAATTACAATGTACCCACCGAGGCTGCTGGGACTTGGTGCTGCTCAGGAGACTCAGCGATCCTGGATGGCTCTGGGAGTCGGTGCAGATTGCCTAGGCCCCTCTCCATGCACGCTTAGAAGGCTGTCTTATCCTCTGCAGTGGTGGGGCGTGGGGCTCATGCCTTTGAGCTGAGTCTTGCCTCGTGACTTGTCCTTCACAATGGAGTTCTGGGTTAGTTTAAAATGTTCTGTTCTCATCTTACCTTCTCTTTCTTCTGCTACCACCTCCTCTCTCTCCTCTTCCTTCCCCCTCGATTTCCTATGTCAGACTGCCTCCTCCTTGTGCTCCCCACAGCCCACCTGTGCTCTCACCTCCCCTCGGCTTCAGCACGACCTGAATTTACATCGCCTCTTCACCTTCCTTGCACTGATTGACTTAAACTGTGGTTTCCTAGGTGGTCTTGTGGTGTTCCTTGGTTAGTAACAGTGGGCTGATTTCTCTAATGTCCCACTAAAAGTCCCTCCCTTTGGTGTTTGCCTTTCTTTTTGGGCTGATACAGATTGTAATCTTGTTTTTAATAGCAGCTATGAATTTGTCGCCTCAATATTAGTAGTCTAGTGTTCTGGTGAAGGATGTTGCTGGTTGGTCAATGTTCATTTACATCTGTTCATTCTATCTGCATCCATCCTTGCCCTCTTCCTTCCCATCCACCCCCACTGTAAACTGAGTGCTGCTTGTGGTTCTAATATCAGAGTACTCTGAGGAGGGAGTAAGGGAGAAATTAGGGAATATGCTAGCGCATTTTAATTTTTCAGCCCCCGTCCTTTCCTTTAGTTTTAATAACTAGACGGGAAATTAGAGGTGTGTACGACCATAATTTATATTTTTTTCCGGGTAAGTTAGACATGGCTTGACGTCCTGCTAACACACTTAGATTACCATGAAAATAAACTGTTCATTGAATCTCCTCACCTTCACAGCATATCCTCCTTTTGCCTTTGCCACACCACTTTGACCTCTTCAGTTTGCTTCCATTTGCTAAGGCTTAGATCGTTTTGTCATTCTCTAGCTTGTCCCATCCCGGTGTACAGAGTCCCCCCAAAATGAAGGGGAGCCATTATTCAGATCCATCATTTTGAATGAAAGGTATCATTTATAATTTTCATAAGTATACTAAATTATAACATATAGAACATTTGTAGTATATACAAATATATTAATATAGTATATATGTTTAAGTTTTTGTTTAATCCTTATAATAACACAATGAGATATTTACCTTTTTTGTTGTTTATTGGTTTTCAAGAGGAAGGGAGAGGGAGAGATAGAAACATCATTGATGCGAGAGAATCATTAATCGGCTGCTCCTGCATGCATCCTACTGGGGATTGAGCCTCAACCCAGGCATGTGCCCTTGACCAGAATTGAACCTGGGACCTTTCCGTCCTCACGCCAATGCTCTATTCACTGAGTCAAACTGGTTGGGGTGAGATATTTATTTCTTGGTGGTGTTCTAAATGATAATATTTCACCAAAATCATACATGCCTAAATGAGAGAATAGGAAAGGTATATTTAGAATCTTGACTATTACTGTCCTACGGATTTTTAAAAAATTTCTTTAATTGATTAAGGTATACATATTTGTCTTCAACTCCCCATTTCAATCCCCTAACCCTCCCCACTCATGCCCCATCCCTCTATTGTCCTTGACCACTGGTTAGGCTCATACGTATACACACAAGTCCTTTGGTTGATATCTCCCTTTTATCCCCACCTTCCCTCTGAGGTCCAACAGTCTGACTCATGGCTCCTTATCTCTGGATCTGTTCTTGTTCATCAGTCTATGTTGTTCACCATTTCCCTTAGATGAGTAAGATCATGTCCTACTGGAAATATACTTGTAAGAATCAAAAATGAGACAAGCAATAATGGTTATGCTGAAAGGCAAATGAATCAGTCTGTAATGAGTTTCTTTCATTAATGGGTGTCCTGCAGATTTAAAGCCCTTTAAAAGTGATGTACAGCCATTCCTAGCTGGTTTAGCTCAGTGGATAAAGTATTGGCTTGCGGATTGGGGGTTCCTGAGTTCAATCCAGTCAGGGGCACACGTGGGTTGTGGGCTCGATCCCCAGGGAAGGGAATTAAAGGAGGCAATCAATGATGATTCTCTTTCATCATTGATGTTTCTGTCTCTCTCCCCCTCTTCTTTCCTCTCTGAAATCAATAAAAATATTAAAAAATAAATAAATAAAAGTTATGTACAGCCATAATTGGGCCCTTGTTCCATGAGCTTGCTATGGAACAAGACTGTTTAGATTTATCTCTAGGAATGATAGCTTTAAAGGTTGGTCAGCATCAGGTTAAGTTTTCTATTACTTTTTGGCCTGGATTAATGACCATCTTCCCAGGCAGGTATCTTCTGCCATTCATCTCTGTCTGGGGAAGGATTGAGACAGCAGGTTCCCTTTGTCAAAATGCACAAACAAGACACCCAGAAATCCGCTGTCAGCAGGTCTGTCCTGAAACCCTCAGCATCCATCTTTGCATAAAGATGTTTACAAGCAGAGTAAAGGTGTGTCTGCCTGCTAGAATGTAGACGACAAAAATGCATAAAATAAATTCCAGTTTTCACTTTTACTATCCCTTTGGAAAGAGGAGGGAGGTTTTTGTAAAGCCCAGGTTAAGTGCTATGTCCCAGTAGTTGCAAAAGCCCATAAAAGAGGTAGTGTACAGTATATGACTGGATGACCATTGCTTCAGCTATCCTTGCCCCTTCCACATCTTATCTGTTACTCTAAATGTACTTATAATCCCAGCTCATGTCCTTCCTTTTCTGACTTTGTTATTGCTTCGCCTTCTAAAGCAAAGGAATGATAACTGAGCTCATGACAGTCAGAACTATAGAAACTTCCAATTAGATCAATCACAAATATTTCCACTACATATACTAGCCACTAGGTAATTGCATTCAATATTTTTAATTTTAATTTTTTTATTTACAGTTGACATTCTCAACTTCTTAAAAATTATTACTAGCCCAGAAAAGAACAAGTGCTACATTCAAGTTGTGACAGTAGGCTGTACTCTGGAAAAACATCTCAGTGAGAATTCTAGTCTTTCAGCCTCATGATGAAATCTCTATGTCTATTACATTTATTTTCTTAATTCTTCTAATTAACTGGCTCCCTTTTTAACCCAGAAATTCATATTGTGATCTGATGTGCAAAAATGTTTCATTTGAAAATGACAGCCATTTCTGGGCCCGAAATGAGTTCCTGTTTCTCAGTTTAACGTGCTGCAGTACAACATACACATGTACAGGGGAGCATCCTGCAGCCAGGACTTCTCCTTTTATGGTCCCCTTGCTAGACACCTTCTGGCAAAGTCATTAAAAGGTCTTCTTGGTATATGATGTAGTTGAGGGCTGTTCTGAAGGCTGTTCCTCAGCTCTGCCTTCCGATTGGGTGTGGCATAGGGGAAGTTCCTTGTCTTTAGTTTGGAAAGTTATATTCTCCATCTGTCCTTTTGGCATAACAGAAATTTAGTTGAGCCATGACAAAGAAAATATGTCAGAAATCAGG